CGAACCGCGGAAAAAAACGTCATGAATATGTGTATGACACAAAATATTTGCAGTAAAATTCAGAAGTTGTAAGTGATTGACATTGGAGGGGCGTGGAAATATTTTTGTCGCATGCGCTATGCAAATATTGCAAGCAACTGCATTATATATCACTTACAACTCCTAAAAAGTAAGTTGTAAATATAGCGGAAAACCACTACTTAATTCAAACAAGATAAATGAACGAAAGACAACATTAAAGGATCTAATCAATTATATGTTTATGGATTGATACAGACACATATATAATGTGGGGAGGTTTAACACTTGTGTGAGCTCCCAAGTTACCCTCTCAACGTTGGACAGAGGTGTTACAAAACATAATATATCAAGAACAAATTGTAGCAATCAGTTGGAAATGGCTTGACTCGTCACATCGGCAAATTTAAAAAAAAGAAAGACACAAAGTATCGATTCAAGCGTACTCGCTGTTAATGAGCTTGTTCAAAGCCAAATCTCAACTGATGCATTAAAACTATGTTGTATATCAGGGCCCGTATGCATAAAGCTACTTAAGTTAAGATTTTCCTTAGTAAACACTTAAGTTAAGAAAACTCCGCCCTTTTTACCTAAGTGGTATGCATAAAAAATCTTAAACGAAGTATTTCCTTAGTAAAATCTTAGTTGGTTTAAGTCACGCCTACAAAACTTAAGATGTATGCATAAAACCCCTTATACTAAGAAAACTCCTAAGAGTATACTTAAGTATAAGGGCCCGTATGCATAAAAAATCTTAACTTAAGTGTTCCTTAAACTTAGATTTCACTAAGAATTTCCTTAGTTAAGTAAAAATCTTAAGTCGTATGCATAACATTACTTAAGTATTCACACTTAACTAAGGAATACTTAAATCGGAACCTTTCTCTAATCACCGTATGATATATGTTAGTAGCTCATCGCATGTACTCATCCGTGTAAAAGTTTGCTTTGATTATTTACATTGATTGATCAATACATAATTGTTTAAAGAACTGGGCCCGTATGCATAAAGCTACTTAAATTAAGATTTTCCTTAGTAAACACTTAAGTTAAGGAAACTCCGCCATTTTTACCTAAGTGGTATGCATAAAAAATCTTAAACTAAGTATTTCCTTAGTAAATTCTTAGTTGGTTTAAGTCACGCCCACACAACTTAAGTGGTATGCATAAAACCCCTTATACTAAGAAAACGCCTAAGATTATACTTAAGTATAAGGTACCTATAGAGCTACCTTAACTTTTCTAAAATACATAAAATCAGTCGAATGTATGCGTTTTTTGCCGAACATGGATATATTAGCTCCCATTTAATTGAATAATAAATATATTCAGTAATATTTCGTTTGTTTATTGCTAAGTATTAACCATCATTGTAATTTTCGAAAGATCACCTATAATCAACAAAACCAAGAGATAACAGAGGGTAGTTTTATAATTTCATTCTACCCTTATTTCTCAATCTCGTTGGTGTGTATTCCGAAAAGTGCTCACAGTTTTTACACGCATGGAATTCATGCATTTATTTTTCTTTCGATTTGTTCGTGCCTGCTTACACAAATAACATTAAATGTTAGATTGATAAAATACATCGCCTGGTATCGATTGTAACTTTTAGTACAAAACTGTAAGAAGATCTTTAGGCATGCCAAATCCTGTTTTCTTGGGGGGGGGGGGGGGGGACATCGGTTTAATTTTCAATTATATTGTTTTTTTCTACATATATTGGGCAAATTTCCCCTAAATTTGTTTCACTAACTGGGACAAAATCAAAACGTTTTGAGACCTACTCCGTGGAATTCGAAGTTTATATATATGATACTTAATCCGTATTCAATATTTGTTTGTATTTCCTTATATATTCTGCAAATTTTGCATAGAAGGAAGACTTTAACTTTAAATAAATTATGGTGTATCTGAAAGAAATGTATGTTATAACTTCCAATAAATTTTGGTTTTGGTTAAGAAAATCCTTCTCGTCAGTTTTAGATAATTGCTAAAATTTTCTAAAATCTGGCCAGAATGCATGCAGTTTTGAGTTATCTTTACGTGTTGATAACTTTCAAGTGAAATATTCAGAAATACGCAAAGATGTTGATAATACCTTACAGTAAACATATGAATCTAATAATGTGTGTTTTAGTAAAAAATCGTTGTTTCACTAACTGGGACAAAATCAAAACGTTTTAAGACCTACTCCGTGGAATTCGAAGTTTATATATATGATACTTAATCCGTATTCAATATTTTTTTGTATTTCCTTATATATTCTGATTTGCTATGATTTAGTGGAAAATTGACCCTACCCTCTTTTTTTATTGTTATAAAAAGGAAGTGAAAAAAAGTTTCAAATCGAAATAGATTTCAAAACATCTTATCAATATATTTTAGGATTAAAAATATATTGTTGTCTCTAGAAAATAAACATGCCTTCCATCCAGCAATACCCATAAAAGATGAATGGTCGGTGCCTTAGAGATGGAACAAATAAATACGACGAATTGGAACCTTTTTAAATGAAGATTTTACTATCATATATCATTATTAGATGGATGATTTGCTACAAGATAATGTTGAGTATCCATTTAGAGACTCCTCGTGTAATTGAAGTTTTGTTTGCAATAAAAAAAAATTGCTAGTGTATAATTCAATATTTTTTTTTTATATTTTACATTTATCACGCCATGCATAAGTTGTCCCACTTCTTTTGGATCTCTTAAAAATCTTTCCTCATTTAATGTTCTCTACTTGTTAAATTGCTTTATATTTGTTATTTTCTTCTATCTCTAAGAGTGACTGGCAAATAGAAATACGGTCATTTTGGTCTATTTCCGACCGGCAGTAAAATCCTTGTCAAAGTGGGGCATCCGTTTTTCCAGGATGTATAAGCACGCAACCACGTACGGTCAGAATTGGGATCGTGTAAAGAGAGATTGGTATTGGTTATTTGTTCTCGTCCTGATGATGCATGACATATTTGTTATTGGACTTTAGGCACTATCAATACATCAATCAATTTCCTGTCAAGCCCGTTGCATCTCTCCTTTAGTAACAGTAGGGGGAAGTTTTGCATTACAAATATTTTTTCTCTTATGCGTCAATTTCTAATTTGTTTGGACATTTAAAGTGGTTACGTATTTTTTAATTGTTTTACACACCAACATCCATTTAAACCAAGTTAATAAAAGTATGTATTGTTCAATCAATGTAAATAATCAAAACAAACTTTTACACGGATGAGTACATGCGATGAGCTAACATACATCATACGGTAATTAGAGAAAGGTTCCGATTTAAGTATTCCTAAGTTAAGTGATGACTTAAGTAATTTTATGCATACCACTTAAGAATTTTACTTAACTAAGGGAATTCTTAATGAAATCTAAGTTTAAGGAACACTTAAGTTAAGATGTTTTATGCATACGGGCCCTGATGTTAAATTGATGTTGGTGTGTAAAACAATCAACAAAAACGTAACCAACTAAAATAACCAAACAAATTGGCGCATAAGAGAAAAGGTTGTTTTGGTGGGCGAGCGTGGGAAGAAAAACATATTTATAATGCAAAACTTACCCCTACTGTTACTAAAGGAGAGATGAAAGGGGGTTGGAAGGAAATTGATTGACTTATCGATGTTTGCTTAAAGCCCAGTGGCAAATATGTCATGCATGTTCAAGACGAGAACAAATTAACAATAGATAAAATAAGTGGATCTTGTAAAAGACGCTTTCCGGGATGAAGGTCAAGAAAATTTGGACTACCACTGGAAAATGAAGGTATATTGGATAGGGACATAATTCTCCCTTGCTACAGCTCACCTACGGACCCCAAAGAGTTGTTGAAGGTGTTCTTAACGGTCAGATAATTTACATTTATCACGCCATGTATAAGTTGTCCCACTTTTGTATCTCTTAAGAATCTCTCCTGATGGATTTTTTTCTACTTATTATATTGTTATATATTTGTTATTTTTTTTTCATCCCTATAAGGGTGAGTGGCGACCAGAAGTACGATATTTGGTCTATTTCCGACCAACATTAAAACTCTTGCCAAAACGGGACGTTCGTTTGGCTGTGCGGGATGTACAAGTACGCAACCACGTCCGGTCAGACTAGGGAGTTAAATCCTATGCTTCGTGTAGAGAGAGTGCCACACACTCTGACCGTTAAGAACACCTACAACAACTCTTTGGGGTCCGTAGGTGAGCTGTTGCAAGGGAGAATTATGTCCCTATCCAATATACCTTCATTTTCGAGTGGTAGTCCAAATTGTTCTTGACCTTCATCCCGGAAAGCGTCTTTTACAAGATCCACTTATTTTATCTATTGTTAATTTGTTCTCGTCTTGAACATGCATGACATATTTGCCACTGGACTTTAAGCAAACATCGATAAGTCAATCAATTTCCTTCCAACCCCCTTTCATCTCTCCTTTAGTAACAGTAGGGGAAAGTTTTGCATTATAAATATGTTTTTCTTCCCACGCTCGCCCACCAAAACAACCTTTTCTCTTATGCGCCAATTTGTTTGATTATTTTAGTTGGTTACGTATTTGTTGATTGTTTTACACACCAACATCAATTTAACATCAGTTCTTTAAACAATTATGTATTGTTCAATCAATGTAAATAATCAAAGCAAACTTTTGCACGGATGAGTACATGCGATGAGCTAACATATATCATACGGTGATTAGAGAAAGGTTCCGATTAAAGTATTCCTTAGTTAAGTGTGAATATATAAGTAATGTTATTCATACGACTTAAGATTTTTACTTAACTAAGGAAATTCTTAGTGAAATCTAAGTTTAAGGAACACGTAAGTTAAGATGTTTTATGCATACGGGCCCAGTACAACTTCATTTGAATAGATGTAAAGGTGTCAGCAGTCTCAGAAACCATCACCTTGTACAAGCAAAAAGAAATATAAAAAACATTTAATTATCACTTATATATTGTGCGGCTAAAAAGGATCATTGTCTTTCAGATTTTAATCACTCAATACGAGTGAGAGAATTCTTTTTTCTAAGATTTCAAAGCAAAGAAGAATCTTGAATTAAGGGACCTCCACGTGGTAAGATTTGGACAACAGCGATCAATCGTTCGTCTGGCTAACACCTTAAGTTATCATGTGAGTAAAAAAATATCAATTTATATATATATTACATATACGCAGGTTAATATTATATTTACAAATTATGTATACTAAAAAGGGTTATAGACTGTAATACATGTTCGTTCTTATTGCGGTTGCTTCATGGGCTGACATTAATAATAATATAGAGATTTAATTTGATAATGACAAAATTGGTGTATCTGATTTCAAATTTATTTTTTTTAACATTCAACAGATTTCTTTTATAACTAGAAGAATAGTGAAGTATAACATTTGAAATTAGATTCCTAACAAACATTGTAGGATGATGTAATTTTATTTTTGACCGAAATATTATTTCATTTAGTGTTATTGTGTGTTTATTCTTGATAAAACTGTAATACAATTCACACGATTCTTACCCTTCCTCGGAACTGGTGTTAGCTTCTAGTTGTCTTAATGGAAACATGTACCTGTACCAAGTCAAGAATATGACAGTTGTTATCCATTCGTTTGGTGTGTTTGAGCTTTGAATTTTGACATTTGATAAAGGATTTTCCGTTTTTAAATTTCCTCGGAGGTCGGTATTTTTGTTATTTTACTTTTTATGTAACGGTTACTATAGTTTTTTTTTAAGGTAACATGAAACGTTAACTGCTTTTGTCTTAAGGAAAACATGTAAGGTTCACTTTAGTTTTCTTAAGGGTTAGAGAATTGAGATGTACCGATGGTTTGTAAAGTAAGTATGGCTACGGGTTTGACAAGACACGTTTACTGATTAGCTATAATAAATTGTGTAATTATACCGTATTATCAACTGATGTAAACTGAAATTGTATGTCATCAGTCAAGAAATACGGTGGTTGCAGTATGGCAAGCCATTTAACTATTTATTCTAACTTCACGATATCTAATAAATTTTATAAGATGTCTCATATAGTTTATAAGTTATCTTATATAGATCATAATATATGTTATATAGTTTATACGATATCTTATATAGTTTATAAGATGTCTCATATACATTTTATTATATAAGATATCTTATAAATTATATGATATATCAACTATATCATGTATATGAGATATCTTATAAACTATATAAGATATCTGATAAGATATATGAGACATCTTATAAAGTTTATAAGATATACTATATAAAAAAATATGTATTTGATATCTCATATACTTTATAAGATATCGTTTATACTTTATAAGATATATTTTTATACTTTAGAAGATATTTTTTAAAGAATATAAGATACCTTATGAAGTATATCAGATATCTTGCAAAGTTTATAAGATATCTTAGAAAAAGTAGATCATATAAGATATCTTATATATTATATGAGATATATTATATATTATAAGATATAATTATATATATTATATAATTTATAAGATATTATATATAGTTTTCTTTATCTTATAAATTATATGATACATCTTATAAACTATATAGTATATCTTATAAAATGTTTTATAAAGTATACCATATTTGTATAAGATATCTTATAAAGTATATGAGATATCTTCTAATGTTTATAAGATATCTTTTTTGAAAACTAGATTATACAAGATATCTTGAAGTTCGAAAAAATAGTTAAACGGCTTGTCATACTGCAGTCAAATTGGGCTACTTGCTATTTTTTTAATAAATATCTTGCACCAAATATTTTCTTAAAGCCATCAATTTCGCCAATTTTGAATACATATGCACCAAAATACAGTTATCATATTTGTCAATTTATCAATGTTTATCTGTTACTTAATACACGTCTCTAATAAATTATGATAGCTTCAATACGATAAAATATTGAATAAACAAGACTTTTATTGCAAGAAAAAGAGTTGAACAATATAAGGGGACGTTTTAAAAACAATAACATAAATGAGTGTGTTAAAGATCTAAGATAATGTATTAGGTGTTATCTTAATTTTTAATGAAGAGGGCTGTCTAAAGTATTTCCTATCGTTGTATACTATACTATACACTACCTTTATTAATTTACGTATTACAAATGCATCAGCCGTAAAAAGTAGACATATGAAAAAGAGTACAAGTTGTTGAAAAATGGCTATACATATCCGCGTTCAATTAAGTTTATACTACAGGTCCTTAAATTGTATGGAGACGCAATTATTTCATTTACGATTCGAATAATTCTAGGTATTTATGAAAACAAGTGACCTAAACGTAGTATTAGTGCAAATGAGATGTGACGCAAAATGACGTATTTTAGGCTCAAATGGTTTTCTCCAAAGTAATTTTATTCTTTTGTAGCACATGAATTTATACAATTTTAACTCACCATGCCTAACTGGCCATGTGAGCTTTTCCCATCACTTATCGTCCGTCGTCCGTCGTATGTCGTCTTTGTCGTTGATTTCGTCATCGTCCGTTAACTTTTACAAAGATCATCTATGAAACCATTTAGCCAAATTTAACCAAACTTGGCCGAAATCATCATTAGGGTATCTAGTTTTAAAAATGTGTCCGACGACACAGCCTGCCACCCAAGATGACCGATATGGCTACAATTAGGAAATAGGGCTGAAGTATTTTTTTTAAACCGCTATGAATAGAGAAAATCTGAAAGGCAGACATGTTCAGATTGTTGAGCTCTTCTTATTGTTTTTTTTTACATCAAAACTCTCAGACGACTTCTTATAGGTATTATTGACCTATAATGACGAATGTTCGACTATCAATAAACTATAATAGAAAGAGAGACACTTTGAACTGCAAAAAGGACCAGCAAGACAGGATCCTCAAGTAAGTTTAATAGCAGAAATAGTCAGTCGACTCCTCATTAGAGTTATCGCCCTTTAATGACAATTTTTACCAATTTGTTTTGCGCTTTTGCCTAAAATCTTGAAAACTACAATAGATCGATAGAAACTTTAAACAGCAAAAATGATTAACAAGACAAAATCTACAAATACATTTAATGGCCGAATTATTCAGATGATTGGTTATTGAAGTTATTGCTCTTTAATGACGAAATGTATCAAGTTTTTCTGTAAATGATAGATAGATACTTTAAATAACAAGAATGATTAACAAGACAAGATCTACAATCCGGTCAAATTCAGCGGAAAAAGTTAGTAGAGAGGATTGTTTGTCCTTAAAATTTGTTTACCCTCTTTTGTGATTTGGCCAAAACTAAATAACATAGAGAGAAACTGTAAAAAGTAGTCTGCAATGATGATGCACATATACCTAGATAAGCAACACAGGCTCTTAAGAGCCTCTAGTTTATTTTGGTTTGGATCGTGTTACCCAATCTTAATGAAAAATCTAAACAAATCCGCCTACAGAAAGGCGCGATCATTATTTTATGTATGATGCAAACTAGTGGCACTAACGTAACAATTGGCGCAAATGAGTTGTGGCGCAAATGAGTTGTGGCGCAAACGGACGCATTTTTGCCACCAATGGATTTCTCCCAGGACTTCATATTCTTCTGAAGCACATACCTGTATCCAAGTAGTTTAAGTTTTGGTTTGGAACCTGTTACCCAAACTTAACGAAAAAGCTATCAATATCCGCCTTCAATCAAATGTAAACTACTGGTCCTTAGAGTAAATGGAGACTATTTGTTTAAATATATTTTTTAAATTCAGAACAGGCGCAACTATTTCATTTATGATGCAAAGTGTACTAGGTGTTTATGAAAAACTCGTGGCACATACGTGTCATAGGTGCGAATAAGTTGTGACACAAAAGGACGCGTTTTTAGCAAAAATGTATTTCTCCCAGACACGTTTATCCTACTGTAGCACACGCTTTTATCTTATTCTTTTTTATTGGATCGCGTTACCTCGATCTTACTATTCATGCCATGTATGCGGTATGCCATTGTAATGCAATATAACTGTCTAACGTGCTTTTACAAATTTGGCGAAAGGAGCATTACATAAATCTACGATTCAGACAAAATTATATTTTTTTTTAATTTCAAACCTTTATAAAAGCTGAATTAGGAATACTTCGCTATTATCATTCAGTTTGGTTCAATTTGGTCAAAATTAGCTCTAAATATTGCTGATGTATTATTGGCTTGTAAGAGAGTAATTCAACAACATTCTTGACAAACAAATGAAAAGCTTGATTTAAGTCGTAATTTCATGATATAGTTATACAAATTAAAAAAAAATTGATATAATTTAATGAATTAGCAAATCTTGACCGTGCGCACATATGTATTATGAAGCGTGTAAAAAATTGTTCTTCTGTCAACGCTATTTCACACTTATATTACAAGAAAAAGCATTTTATTCTTAAAAAAAATATTTATTTGTAGGATGTATAGTAAAGTTGAGTATATTCACGTCGTCATAATGTGCATCTCCGTTTTTGATATACGCGAAGCAGCAAGTAAGTAAATATACAAGTCATGTAATTTAAAAGTTACTATTTAATGTTACACATCTTGTCATTGTCATCTGCATAGTTGAAAACAGTACAATGAAATAAAACAAAATGTCAACGAATCATATGACAATTCTTACATAAAACCAAAACTTTACCCTGATACATGGCAGATGTATAGACACGGAAATGGAGGGAGTACAGTCAGGAAAGTATTATGCTCCCAACTTTTGCAGATACTCATTAAGGCTGTTCACTGGTGTTAATATGTCTTTTGATTGAGTTCAGCCATTCCAATTGATATTTTATAGTGTGTCTTTCTATGTTGTAATGTTACACTATTGTTTCAGATAAGGGAGAAGGTTTGGTACAATTAAAACGTTTAAACCCGTTGCAATTGTTTGCACCTGTCCTAAGTCAGGAATCTGATGTTCAGTAGTTGTCGTTTGTTGATGTGGTTCATAAGTGTTTCTCGTTTTTTATATAGATTAGACCGTTGGTTTTCCCGTTTGAATGGTTTTACACTAGTAATTTTTGGGGCCCTTTTATAGCTTGCTGTTCGGTGTGAACCAAGGCTCCGTGTTGAAGGCCGTACTTTGACTTATAATGGTTTACTTTTATAAATTTTGACTTGGATGGATCTTCTTATATCTATTAAGGTCCGGTGTACGTGCGTTTTTTTTATTTAAGACTCGAGCTTATCAGTGGCGTTCGAATCAAAACTTTTAGAAAGCAAAATCAAATAGTAAACGAAGTTGAATACAAATAAATAATAAAAAAATCTCATAAAAGATAGGTCTGGAATAGTTATAGTTTTTACGAATCTATATGAACATTCTTTTGCATTCTTCTGTGAATAAGTTTAAGTTTCAGTTTATTCATTTTAACGTGCAAAATAATGAATTGTTTTTCTGTTTGATTTTCAAATCAAACTTCTTATCAAACACTTATGTTGTATTTTTTCGGACTCTTTAATTTTCTTAACATTAAGTTATGATCAAAATGTTAAAATTAACATATGATAATGGTAATGTTTCCCTTTATATGCGTATATATGTTTGCAGTACAATGGAAGATAACAACAAAACCTGTGGTTATTGGAAAGGAGGCTATACTAGCTTGTAGCGGATACAAATGTCCATCTAACAAAACCAGAAAATGGCTTGGTGGGAAAAACTATAACCTTCTTTGCTTCGATTCCCAATCAAAAAATATCTCAAAGTATGAAATGAGGTCATATGGAACAGATTTTGAGCTCATAATAAAATCCTTGAGCTTCAGCGATCTGAACTGTGAATACACATGCGCCTGTGGATTCCACCAATACACCAAAATGTTACAGTTAGACGAGGAAGAAGTAATTTGTAAGTTTTAAAATAATACATAGGTACTCTCATTATTACTGTATAGTACTTTAACTGCATTATAAGCGCTCTGACATGTACAATTCCAGGCAGATATTTGTCCAACTTATATCAGAGGTTTATATAAGCAATGTTTTGGACAAGTTCAAAAATCATTCCCAATCAACTACTGTTAAAAGTGTTATGCCCCTTGGAAAAATTACTTAATATTTAAAAAGTTGCATTGTAAGCGTTTTAAATTCACGTGTACAATTTTTGCCAGAATTAATCAAACTTATATCAGAGGTTTATATCAGCAATGTATCTGACAAGTTCAAAAATCATTGCCGATTAACTACTGTTAAAAGAGTTATGCCCCTTTGGAAAATTACCTAATATATAAAAATTTGCCTTGTAAGCGTTTTCACGTGTACAATTCTTGCCAGATTTTAATCAAACTTATATTAGTGGTTTATATCAGCAATTATTCGGACAAGTTAGATAACCATTGCCGATCAACTTTTTCAAAAAGAGTTATGCTCTATGGAAATATCAATCATATGGAAAATTGCTTTTTAAGCGCTTTCGTGTGTACAATTCTTGCCAGATTTTTATCAGACTTTTTTTCGGAAATGTATATCATCAATGCCTCGAACAAGTAAAATCAGTGCTGACTTGCATTTTAAGCGCTCTGGTGTGTACAATTCCTGCTCGAAATTTATTTTTCTTACTTATATCAAGGTTATATCCACAATGTCTTAGACAAATTCGGAATTCAGTGCCGATCAACGTTTTAAAAATAGTTATGCCCATGGAAATATTATTTATATTGAATCTTGCATTGTAAGCGCTCTCATGTGTACAATTTTTGCCTGACTTTTATCAAACTTATATCAAAGGTTTATATGAGCAATGTCTTGGACAGGTTTGAAAATCAGTGCAATGCGGGGGACATTGTATCTCTGTTCTTTTATTATTCTTTTGATATATATATATATATATTTGAAGTATAACTTAGGATTCATACTTTCAGACCCACCAGTTGTACATGACCACTCTCGCACACACTCACAGGAAGACCTTAAATTCCAAATAAATGTGTCAATGGAAGTTTATCCGTTACCAACATGCACAATAGTCTCAAAGGTACGAATTTTGTTATTAAAATGTATTCACACAACAAGAACAAAAAATGCAACAACAACAACAACTGGACTGTATTTAGTGTATTTAAGAAATAGAAAGCCCAAAAAACCAGTATAATACAGATCATCGCATCAATAACCGTTTGAAAAATTTGTTTTGAAAAGTATCTTCAGCAGTACAAATACTTGTATACAATAAAACGTGCATATATCTAACAGGATTATAAACCAATAAGATATATAAAGATAACACAACCAATGACAATGTTACGTTATGAAACAGGCACATAAAATATTGCCTTGTAAGGTTTCTGAGAAAACCTCCCCTCTAAATTTTTAACATGAAATAAAAAAGGTAAACGCATATAATAGCACATTGAATTAAACCAGTTAAGGATTCGCACTTAATGTTTTAATACCGGTATGATAGACACGAAAAAATTGAAACACATCAAGAATATATTATACTGTATTTCAGAATGCAGAATTCACTAAAACCCAGCTCAAAGTACTTAAAATTTTTAATTATTAATAACCTGTCGATACGAAAGCACACCGTTGTATAGTGTAATAGGACTGGTTGCTATGCTTAGGAGAATATTTTCCAATTAAATCATGTTCTTTTAATTCTATAAAAACCTATGTATATTTTAGGTTAGCGTTTTGCTTATAAACATATCAGTGGTAAAGAGACCTGAAGGTGAGCTAAAGCTTTTTGAAGTTTTAGTACAGACCACAATAGTGACAGATGTTGCTTCCTGTGGAGAAAATCTAACGCTAGATTGCGAAGTAGGATCGATTCATTACCAACATGTTCTCAAGAAGCCATATTCATGCAAAGGTGTCTTTCTGACTGATTAACATTTTACAATTATACACTTCTGTCAAAACCCGACCTTGCAATCTCATGCTTTATAAATATGAAAATAGAGATTTACTATAAATATATAAAACTGAACACAGACCATTCCTATCTATTGGTAAAAAATATTTCTATTTTTTTCAATTTTATGCTACGTTTTAATCCCCTACCGACGAAGTCGAAGAGCACTTTAGGTTTTTTCTCCGTCTGTCTATCTGTCTGTCTGTCCCGCAAATCAGTTTTCCACACTTTTGTCTTCGTGCTTGAAGATATTGATTTGATATTTGTTATATAGTTTAATCATGAAAGTTTGAATTTTGTTCCGGTCTGATGATCTTGTGCAACGTTATGATCCTTGGACTTTGAAAATTCGCGCAAGTATTCTGTTTTCCGTACACTGAATTATATTTGCTTAAATCAAGCGTCTTTTGTGCGTAGAACATCATTAACATTTTCTTATTTTATTTTTGATTGTTGGAAGTGTACGACGTTGGATTATTTGAAATCAACAGGTTATGTTCTTTGTGCTTGCTTTCATTAACTGCGATATGAATGTTTATCCCCAAGGTAATTGGAAATAATTGATTTGATATTTGGTGGAATGAGTGCTGAGAAGACTGCAGAAATCTTTTTAGTTTTTTAAGATTGTGAAAAAAATATCATTCAATTTTCGTGAATTTCAAATTCATCATACTTTACTCTGAATATCACATAATTGTCCCCCCCCCCCGAAGCGTGTTGTAAGGGGGGGATACTGGAGGTCCGTCCGTCCGGCCGGTTTTGTTAGTACTCTTACAATTATCTTTTTTATATAAAACCTTTATCATAGGTTTATATCAGCAATGTCCTAGGACGAGCTCGAAAATCAGTACCGATAAACTATTTCTAAAAGAGTTATACCCCTTGGAAACATGAATTATTTGCAAAATTGAATCGTTAGCGATCTCATGTGTACAATTTTGGACAGATATATAAAACTTATATTGTAAGTTTAAATCAGCAATGTCTCGGACCAGTTCATAAATCAGTGCCGAGCAATTATTTTAAAAAAGATCAAATATTTTTAACGAGTTATGCCTTGGAAATATTAATTTAATCGGAAATCACATTGCTTTTGCTCTGAAGCATTCTTTTCTTTAAGATAAACAATTTTAAAGAACAACAAAAGTGTATTTTTTAGTTATTGCCCTTGTACCTTTGATAGATAGAATATGTGCAACGCGGGGTACATTGGAGCTCTGTTTTTTTTTATTTTAAATTCTTTTACAGTAATACATTTTTTATAGCATTACACTAGGTATTCAGTCTGCAAGCTTTATATGAAGTGCCTTACACTTGTATTTATCGATCAAGACACTAAAGGTACAATAATGGTTTCCTCTTTTGATTTTAATTATTACAGCCATAACAAATACATGTACATTGTATCAATAAATTATGCAGTTTTTTTTAAATTTTCATCAGTTAATGAAGATGTTGACAAATAAGGTTCAAGTAATTCAAGAAAAATTTCCTTTGGTATTGCAAATCCGTTTTCTGGTCAACCATTACACATCGTGGGTTGTTGTACAAAAGAGCAAGCGATCGAGACAGGAAAAATAATAAAATTAAATTGCAGAGTGGTATCACATGCATTCATGTGTGTAGACCAGGAACCTAGGTTTAGGTGTAGACTAAATTGCGTGCATTATGTCGATTATATCGCACTGGAAATAATTAATGAATCTTTTCAACTGCCTTTTAGACTGAAATGATACTGATAGCTACCAAACATTTTTTGATTCAAAAGATAACTAGCCTTCAAAATTTGTTTAGAACATTTTGCAGTAATTATTAGTATTTTAACCGTCTGGACATTTTAGAATATATACTTCTTTAAGTTTATAAATTCTTAACAGAAATTGTTTGATATCAGCTGTTACGTCACTATTGAGTTGTCTTGTCTTTGTAATGTAACATTTAACCAACATATATATATATATAATTATGTATAAATCCGATTACAGATCATAGAGAACAAAGTAATCCACAGTATTTCATAATGGTTGGTATAATACTTGCACTAGTGCTAGTCCTAGTGATTGTTTCGACTGTGATCCTAATGAAAAAAAGATTAGGTAAGTAACCTAATTTTATCACTTTTATCCTGCCATCAGCCAGCTATTCTACAAATAACAGGTACACACATAACATTTTGCTTAATTTGTACTTGTGAAATTAAAGTCTCCTGTTACTCAGCTTCCATACTGAGCAAACGGTAATGTGAATATTCTTATGTCCCTGCTGTAGCGGAGGGGACATTAGGTTTACCCATGTCCGTCTGTACGTCCGTCCGTACGTCCGAAATTTTCCAAAATTGGTTTCCGTTCCCTAACTTTAGTTTGCCTGAAGCAAATGTTATGAAACTTACACACAATTCTTATTACCACAAAACACATGTCAAGTTTGAATTTTGGTGGAAAAATTGCTGAATTTTTCGTTTACGTTCTCATATACACAATTTTTCGTTTCCGTTCTCATATACACAATGCATATTACCACAAAATACAGATGAAGTTGGAATTTTGGTGAGGTCAATTTTGCCTTTCTAGACTTATGTCCCTTAACGAATGGAAAAAGTGCTGAATTTTTCGTTTCCATTCTCTAACTAAAGTTTGCCTCAACCAAATGTTATGAAATTTAAACACAATGCTCATTACCACAAAACCCAGATCAAGTACGAATTAGGGAAGCGTTACTTTTACCATTCTTGAGCTATGTCCCTTTATGATATTATATGAAAGCAGGGGAATCATCTGTGTCCCATGGACAAGTTCCCTATTTATTTTTTGTGTGACAGTTCATTTTAGGTTCTTCTTCGTATTCCACATGTTAAATTGTTTCGATTTCTCGAAAAATCATAGACAACTAATTTGATTTAAACAACTAAACATTAAAATGCCGGTTGTAAACTGCAGGGTGAATACAAAATAAAATGTATGTACATTGTCGGAAATTTAAAATCATGTTTACTCTCTTCGAAACAGTAGAGAAGCTTGTCTTGTTTCCCTTTTTGTCTTGTTTCTAAAGCTCGTACACATAAATTCTATATGTTCCTTCAATGTACACATATAGCATATCTATATTCAAGTATCACAAAAGAGTAACGAAATATAGTTGTTTAAAGGTAGTGTGAACAAAAGACAAATAATGTATATACAAAATGCGAATCTACGTATAAAAATCATCTTAACTTAAAAAAGGCTAGGGATGTACAAAGAAGACATGTAATCATGGCTTTCATTTCTTTAATCAACAATTACCTCCGTCGTTCTAAACCAGCAAGTAAAACATGAATTGGTTTTCAGATGTTCAATGTTTAGCTAGCCTTCTTTCTACAATATCATTAAGACTTAGTACTTGTTCAATACGAATATGAACTTTTGAGATAAACCGAAAATGAACCGGACATTTGAAGCGTTAAATATCAAGAATCCAACCCATTATTATAACTCGAAGCAAATACAATATGCTCGTTAATTAGTAAATGCATGCAAAATAACAGCAAAGAGTAATTTCAAATTGTTGGTTTGACATGTCAAGACATCGAACTATCATTCTCCCCTACGTGATGCGAGCGACGAATACAATTCGGTAATAAGTTGTTTTGTAAATGCATCATAATGCTAAAGACCACCAGTAAGGTTTTTCATCATATGAGATGCTTATATAGCCAATCCATTTAAACAAACTGCCTGGCTAAAGTATTTCCTCCAGCGATGTGAAAACTATAGAAGATACAGAAGTTTCCTAGTGTAACTTAGCATGAAAGTAAGCGGCAGCTGGGTTGCCACCATTTATGGTGTTAAGTTTCCTAGTGTAACCTAAAACAAAAACCAGTAACAGCTTAGTCACCATTTATGATCCTTTTAGATATTGTCTCTTCATTTACATTTTTTATCTATCTTTTTCATTTTTGGCTTTAATATTGGTTTCTAGTAAACCGAATAATCATCAAGAAAAGACCCACTGGTAAGTAATAAAATTGTCAGTCCTCTCCTTAAAGAAATCGATGCCCTGCAACGACGATTTTTACAATTGTTTGTTTTGTCTTTTTGTTCAAAACTTAAGTAAATAAAAAGAACCTGTAAACCAGAAAATTAATTAGAAAAAGACCTACTAAAAAGTGAAAATGACCAGATTTGATTGCTTTTACTATTTAATGATGACTTTCCCAAATTTTATGCATCATATCTGCTGTTTAGGAACATGCCAGGTAGGTAATACAGGTTCTTTTGAGCCGCCATTTGTATAGACTAAATTTACTCTGAGCTTGTAATTTTCCAGGGAAAAACAATTTTTACAAAACAGAGAGATATGGGCAGTGGATAGTATACAGTTGTATATGAAACAAACAAAAACAATTCTTCTATCAAGAAGTAGACGTATATTGAAGAAGGATTACATGATATTTTGTCACATGATTTTTACCAGCTGGAGTTAAAGGCATAACATTTGTGTATATATGTATTACTCTAGTAAAATGAGAAACTCAAACTGTATAAGCAATTGCATAGTTGAACACTTGCTGTGACGGAGGTCAGAGATCAGAGGTCGAACCAGAAATATACGGATACAAGTATTTAATAGAAAAATGCTTTTTATTTAGTTTCATTCAGTTTATTACTTAATGTTCGTATTGCTCAGTCTTTACTTTTTTATGTTGTGTTTTTTATTTTAAGTTTTTTATCTATGGCGTTATCAGTTTTTTTTCCTACTATTGAATTTGAATGTCCTTTTGGTATCTTTCGCCTCTCTTTTAATAAAATTGAGAATGGAAATGGGGAATGTGTCAAGGGGCAACAACCCAACCAAAGAGCAGAAAACAACCCAAGGCCACCAATGGGTCTTCAACACAGCGCGAAAATCTCGCACCCTGAGGCGGGCTTCAGCTGGCCCCTACAAAAAGTGTACTAGTTCAGTAAAAATTGACGTCACACTGAACTCCAAAACATATAAATGAACATAAATTAAACAAAACATACAAGACTAACAAAGGCAAGAGGCTCCTGATTTAGGACTGACACAAAAATGCGACGGATTTAAACATATTTTGTGAGATCTCAACTCTCCCCTTATACCTCTAGCCAATGTAGAATAAACAAAAACACGGCAATACGCACAGTAATACTCAGCTTAAACGGAGTCCGAGTCTGATGTCATAAAAGGTAACAGGAGAAACTAAGCAAAATGACAATGATACATAAATTAACAAAGTACTACTAGGAGCTACTGGCATGCCAGCTCCAGACATCAATTAAACTGATTGAAAGGTTTCATCATATGAAAATCAAGCATAATCCTTCCCAATAGGGGTTTTGTATCATACCATCAAAAAAAAAAGAAGAACATAACCCGTATCATGCCAACAACTGGTTTTAGAATAAATGTGTTTATTTCCGATGCATATACATTATGAGTGAATCAATATTAATTCTAAAATATGCCAACTATAATGACCTGACGACAGTTTCGTAACTACATCCCTTTTGAATAAGTCTGTTTAAAGATTTGGTTAGCTTTTGAGGTGAATGACGACATTTTTTAGATTTGTATAGAATATGACCATTAAAGATTGAATATGAAATACCTGAACGTATAACATGTCATGTTGATTTATATTTACGAATGATGTCCTTGTATCGATGATAAATTTAGTCCATGATTGACTAGATGTGATATCGAAAACCTTGGTGTAATAATTTTTCAGTAATACAGAGATTTCTTTCGTTAAAATCAAATACGTTGTTACATACACGAGCGAATCGAACAAGTTGAGATACATAAACACCATAAGATGGTGACAAAGGAATGTCACCATCTAAAAATGGATAATTAACAATAGGAAATGAAAAATCATCTCTTTTATCGTAAATATTGGTATTAAGCTAGTCTTAAATATATAGATATCAAGATCCAGGAAAAGGGCAGTGTTCATTTTTTTTATTAACTTTATTTAAAGTCAGTTCATTGGGATAAATCTCTTTAGTTTTCATACTGAAGTCGTCATTATTGAGAGCTAAACTATCATCAAAATATCTATAAGTGTTATTAAATTTTTGTATCAGATGTTGTTTGATGGGTTTTTGCTGATTTTAGTCATAAATGTTAACCTATAACAATACAGAAACAGGTGCGAAATAAGGAATTCCGATAATTTGACGATATACAGAATCTCCATAGCGAATAAAAATGTTATCTAGTAAAAATTCAAGTACAGTTACATGCATCTTATTGAGACAGGTCCAATTTACCTAGTTCTTTTGTTTGTTGATACTAAAAATGACCTAAAAGAGTTTAGATATATATATTTGCATTCTGACTTTTTGAATGCCCATTTAATTAGGTGTTAGCATTTTTCTTAATGAGTTTATGAGGCAAAGTGGTATATAGAGTAGAAAAATCAAAACTTTGAACAGATTCGAATTCAACAATATAAGCATGCACTTTATCAAGTACTTCCAACGAATTTTTAATGTATGTACGCTATATTGTAACAACTATTTTATATACAATTATTGCTTAACTTTCATATTCAAAACGAAAAGACACGTTTCTCTATCACTATTGATAGCGTGGGATACTTCAAATATTTCTCCAGACACTATCTAGAATAAGGACATTAGCTTATTCTACATTTTGACTCTTTTCCCTAACACAGTCTTTCTTAATCGTGAAAATCTGAATTTTTTACGTATGGGGCGATACAACTATTACTTATTTTTTATTGACTTCTATTGACTTTTATTGAATTAATGAGAAAATGCTCGTAAATGTTTTGATAATCATGTGATAATGGCCTACCTACGTCAAAAATATTATTTGTGTCAAGATACAGGGCATATAAACAAATATGATACTGTAAATTTAGAAATTATTGCGATGTTTTTATTATTGCAAAAAATGGGACAGGGTTATAATCGCAATAATTTAAACTCGCATTTTGAAAAAAAAACTCAAATCGCGTTTTAGTCTTAAATGACATCGTCGTAAACTTTTACAAAAATCTTCTCCTCTGAAACTACTAGGCCAATGTAAACCAAACTTGGCCTAAATCATCCCTAAGGTATCTAGTTTTAAAAATGATGACCCCGCCCATCAACCAAAATGTCCACAATGGCTAAAAATAGAACATAGGGGTAAAATGCAGTTTTTGTCTTATATCTCTTAAACTAAAGCATTTCAAGCAAATCTCACGGGGTAAAACAGTTCATCAGGTCAAGATATATCTGCCTTGAAATTTTCAGACGCATCAGACAACCCGTTGTTGGGTTGCTGCCCCTGCATTGGTAATTTTAAGGATTTTTTTTAGTTTTTGGTTAATATCTTAAATATTATAATAGATAGAGATAAACTGTAAACAGCAAAAATGTTTAGCAAAATAAGTTGTACAAATAAGTCAACATGATAAAAATTGTTAATTGAACCCTTCTGGAGTTATTGTCCTTTAAAGTAAATTTTTCACAAGTTTTAGTAAATGTTTGAAATCTTTTACAAAAATCTTCTCCTCCGAAACTACTGGGCCAAGTTAAACCAAACTTAGTCTAAATCATCCTTAGGGTATCTAGTTTAAAAACTGTATCCGATGAACGCGTCCACCTACCAAGATGGTCACTATATCTAAAAAAAGAACATAGGGGTAAAATACAGTTTTTGGCTTATATCTCCGAAACAAAAGTATTTATACCAAATCTAACACGAGTAAAATTGTTTATCAGGTCAAGATCTACCTGGCTTGAAATTTTCAGACCAATGAGACAACCCGTTGTTGGGTTGCTGCCCCTGAATTGGTAATTTAAAGGAAATTTTGCAGTATTTGGTTATTATCTTGAATTTTATAATAGATAGAGATAAACTGTTATCAGCAAGAATATTTAGTAAAGTAAGATCTACAAACAAGTTAAATACAAAAAAATGTAAATTTACCCCTTAAGTAGATATTGCCCTTTAAAGTCAATATTTTCACTATTTTTTGTAAATTTTGTTATCTTTTACAAAAATCTTCTCTTAATCCACTTGACCAAATGGAATTAAACTTAACCACAATTTTTATTAGAGTATATTGATTGACAAATGTATCTGATGATCCTGCCCTACAACCAACATGGTCGTCATGGGTAAAAATAGAATATAGGTGTTTACTATAGAAGTCTATGGGAAAAATGTAAAAAAAAAAACAATTTCAAATGGTCACAACTTGAAAACTAATTTAAATAATGATAAAGGGTCTTCAGTAACTATTGTAAGACTACAATGGGATGACTTGATTTTTTTCCAGGGGGATGCAATTTTTTCAGGGGGTTGGGGGGTTGCAAATAACCCCTCCTTGATATGTTCCAATTTCTGAATTATTCAGTGTTACTTTTTCTAAAAACCAATATTATATATTTTCTTTCAGCATACTTATATTGGGTAAATGCCCCCCAGACCAGGCAGGTTAGTCGGGGTCAAGACCCTTGCTCAATTTTGATTTTGAAGGATTTTAAAAAAACCAACATTTAAAGGCATTTCCAGCATTAAACAGGCCCAGGGTGAAATAAATTTTAGAGCGGGAGAAAGGAAATTTAGCATTTTTTGTTAATTATCTTGAATATCATTATAGATTTAGATATGCTGTAAACAGCAAAAATTACAAGCAAAGAAAGATCTACAAATAAGTCAACATGACCAAAATTGGCAATTGACATCTTATTGGAGTTATTGTCCTTAAAAGTCATTTTCTGCAATTAATTGGTAATTTTTGTAGTTTTTAAAAAAAAATCTTCTGCTTTTAATTTAACTACTGGGCCATATTAAGCCAAATCTGGCCTCAATCATTATTAGGGTATCTATTATGTTTTTAACCGTATTTTACGTGATTTCCAAAACCACAGTAGATACAGGTGAGCGACATAGGCTCTTGAGAGCCTCTAGTTTTGTATTTAAATTTTCAAAAATCAATCAATGTTTTGTAAATGTACATGCATACGTGTATTTGCATAAGATCGATTTTCATTTCACACAGCTCAAATGTTGATAGATATATTTCCAACATAATTTGATAATTGTTCAAATAAGAAATAAGAGAAATAAAGAAAAAACGAACTTTATAGTTTTGGCCTGATTTCGGACTTATACACTCTAATTTTGTTTATATTTCATCAATTATTTTGGGAATAATAGAAAATTAAGTTTACTAGGACAGCAATCAGAAGTATAAAAAAATTGAATCAAACCACTATACAAAGAATAGCGAGTTTCGTTATATTGTAGGTGAGTTGCATGGCTTGAAAGTAATTTAGAATTGAAATTATTTTTCTTCAGATTTTATTAAGGAAAAATATAATGAAATTTATGAGTAACTAGTATTTTCATTAAGAAGTTTAAATTTAACAGCAATTATTAATTGTATTATCTAACCTAAATTGTATGTTGTATTATTTTGTTATTTTTAACTTATATTAACTCTTAAATTACTATGAAATTATATTGTAACTACTTTGATGTTTTCTTTATTAAATTAATAGCGAGTGTTTTGATATTCTAGTTTGGTTTTCTTTCCTGTTGTTGTTCCAATCCCAAACCGGAGCCTCCCCTTAAATTGTACCAGCGTGCATTGCAATTGTTTGGTTTAAAAAATACCAACACAGTAAAAAGGGAAGAAGACCATGTTTTAAAACGGAAAGACACCATAAAAACTAGCAAAAAATAAGACTTAGCTTTGCAATATTAAGACATCTTTCCTAATCACAAAGACAATGTCATCTTTAAGAACCATGCCAGAAATGACGACTGGTATAACGTTACCACACCACCATATGTAGACGATCAGTCACCATTTTACTAATCCTCAACCATTCGGCCAGATTTCACACTAACAACACCAATCAGACCATCAAAACCATCACAGACTTTTTCATCATTAATTTCAAAGAAACCGACACCTGTCCAAGGAAATCATCTGCTGTAACCCCACAACAATTTGTATTGTTGTATCCATAGTTGACGTCCAGTGTACCAGCTACAACAGTATTGTCATCTTTTAGAGCTGCAGCAAGTGCACGTTTATCGACGGTGACATCAACATTGGCCACAGTAGTACCAAAAACAACAGTTGTACCAGTCGCAACAACAGCTTCTACAACATTAGCAACGCCAGCCTCTACAACACCAGCAACGACAGTGTCTACTACATCAGCAACGATTGCTTCTTCTACATCATCTTCATGCAACAAACACCAACAACGACGACTTCAAAAACTTCTGCAGGTATAACAATACAATTTTCTATAATCATTTTTTATAAGTCATCAATTTTGAAAATGGAAACATTAAAGGCTGACAATAGACAAACCCAGAAACTTGGTTAACAAATTTTAATCAATATAGTTCTTTCTATGATTTATCAAAAAGGAAAAGTGCAGAGACCTTTCCATTTCATTTGTGTGTCATCCTAAAACTTGTAATCATACAATTAATGCAAGTAAACACAATTTCGGGCAATTTAACGCTGCTTTTAAAGACAGATTTAAAGATTAACATTATCTTTTAGACAGTACAATCTTTCAAACGCATCAGGGAAGGAATGAGTCTTTGATAGATTTCTTATCTAAATTGTTAAAATTAGCTACTAACAGAAATATATCCAACGATATATTACTAGACGTAGCAATGAGTGTTTAAAAGGACTATTTTAAAACAATTGTTATGACTAAGGAATCTAAAATATTGAAGAGTTTAGGCGTGTAGCTCTTTTGTCAGAAAATGCTATTGGTTCTAGTGAAAAATCTTTATATTCAATGAAACAATTGTTTTAAATGAAATTATTTGTTTAAGAGATCTTATTCATGATACTCAGTCTATTATATATATAATGCGAATAGTCCAATTTCATCAACTACTCAAAATTAGCTTGATCATTGACCTATAATTGTTAACTTTTTATACATTGTGACTTAGATGATAAGTTGTCTCATTGGCACTAATATCACATCTTCTTATTTTTATTATCTACCTCCTTTATATTCAATAACCAATTTATTAAAATCCAAGAGTACCAAATCAGACAATGTCTTCATCAAATAGGTATAGGGTACCACAAATTCAACCTCCACGTCAAATATTTAATAGGATGTCTTCACGCCAACCAACCAATCAAAACTTTGAAATCGGTATTATTATCAGACTCAAAATATATTTCGTAGATGTTTTTGCTGCAACTGGTATTGTCAATAATAGGGCACAGTGTCCCGCTAATTGTGTCGTTTTCCATTTTTGTAACAAAATGGAACTTTTTTTCTAAAGCTTGTTTATCTTTCAAGAGAATGCATACATATTAACAATCCACGCTTGTTCGAATTTTGACTTTGAATAGACATACACAGTTGAACAATGTTTAAGCAATTGTTTAAATCATGACAATTCAAAAACGCAATAAAAACGATTTGCTACATAACTGCCTTAATGTTTTATTCCAGTAAATTTTTTCAATGAAAACACATTCTTGAAAACAAAATTTCCAAGTTTTCCATTGTTTAGTTTGGACATTAAACATATATTTGGAGAAGGGAAGAGCTACTTATCCAGTACACGATATAATTCAATCAAATTTAAAAATACGTGGAATAGTCCATTTTCAAAATTTCAATATTATACCAGCTTTAAGACATTCTGTGATTTAAGGAACAGGTTTTTGCAAAGAAAAAGAGTGTTTGTTTAAACTGGAAAAAAATACAATATATTTATTAAAGATTCAGTAAAAGACAATGTATTAAGGGTAACACAAGGTTTTGCTAGGGTTTATAGGGAATCGTCAATTTCTCAAAATACAATCAAAAATATTTGTGTTAGACTGTCTAAAACATTGCCTTATCAACATTATTTATAAGAACTACTTACAAATTTTAAGTACTATATACTTACAGCTAGATGTTTATTCAAAAATCGAAACAACAAATGTTACATTCAAATTTTAAATCCCACAAATCAGGTCATACATTTAAGGTCAGGTTTATTTTGGCTACCATTAATAACGTAGTTTCAAGTAATATATTTACTTATGATGATGACAAGTCTGCAAATAGATATGGAACAATAGGCGATACATGTATATGATATAGTCAGTATAAAAAACAAAATTACATATCTCTTTTTTTTTACTTAATATTCAATTGTAATTTTAATCTGAACTTTTTTCATTTCGAAAGAAGTTTGTTATGCGGTTGACCAGTCATTGGCGCATGTCATCATTTTGAAACACATTCTACTAAGTACCGAACGTGACCTATTCCCGAATATGAATTTTTGTCGAGTGTGAATTTGCATTTCTATACGAAGTGTCTCAGTATTTATACATCCAACATTCATGTATTTAGTTATGATGTTTCTTTTGTAAGCCTGGTTGGATATTGTGTTATGTCTTATCGTTTGTGGTTTGAATTCTGTATTTTCGGTACATTTTACATTATGTCGTATTTGGCAGTGGAGTCAAGTTACTTGTGGTTCGTCTACAGTTTTTTTGTTCTTTATGTTGTTTGTTTTCAAGTGTGTTTACCATTTTGTCTTACATGATCTCGGCTTTGATTATTTTTTTTTTTTATTTGCTATATGCATGTAAAAGTTAAGATAACTCATCATGCTCATCACCTATTTCATTTATATGATTTTTAGTTTAAAGCAACTATATGCACAGGATTTTTTGGTTTATACACTGTTTTGATTTAGAAGTAAAACCGACATGGTTAGAAAATACAAATAATTACTCCATGACAAACACAATTTCATTTTAATATTCTTCATTTCTTGTCATGGTTAGAAAATACATAAAATAACTCCATGACAAACTTAACCCAATTTTATATTCTTGTACGTGTCTTCAATAAAACAAGTTTTTATTCTATTTTTAGAAATTTACCTGTGATACAATAAATGTCACAAAAATACCTCACTTTTTGTGGCGTTGATACATTCGTGTGACGCACATTTTTTAATTCGCTTGTGGTGTCCTCGTGTACTGTCGTAAATTCATTGGAGGTGTCCGTTGTTATTCTGTGGTTTACATGTTGTAATTTACTATTATGTTATTTATTTGAGATTTATTCCTCTGTCCTGGGTGTTCTTTCGTTTATTTTTAATATATTCCTATCGCGTAATGTTGCCTTTTTAGCGGTATTTTTAACATTGCCATATAAGCGGGAGGTTTGGATAGCCATAAAACCAAGTCCAACCCACCATATTTTTCTTAAAATGTCCGGACCAAGTCAGGAATATGGCAGTTGTTATCAAATAGTCCGTTTCTATGTTTGTTGGCGTTTGTTTTTGTTGCAGTTCAGTGTTTCTTTTGTTCTGATTTTTTTCCTCTTATAGTGTTTCCCTCGATTTTGAATTTGTTTTTGCTTAATCAATTTATGACTATTGAACAGCGGTATAATACTGTTGCATTTATTCTTGACAGAAATGGTTAAGGGTTAAAAAAATATCGGTGAGCGAAATTTATATATAATTTATTTCTGAACTCATGTAAACAAGAAAAATATACCATTTTGAATCTATGACTGACTATTTCATGCCATGTCATCAGATGTTAAGTGGTCCACTTAAATGCAGTTGTCTTTGAATTATCTTACGTACAGTCCAGTTCATTACCTAATTGTATGTGTTTTACACTGAAATTCCGATAACGTTTCTTCATCGAACGAACAAGAGTCCCCTTCGAGGAGAGTTCAACTCGGGAAATCTGGTGGTGGTTTTAGCAAGGACTTCAGCAATTTGGCAGTACTTGCATAAACATAGAACTATCACAGATTCATATGAATCATTGAATATAGATTCCCTGTGCTATAATGATTAGAGGAGAAATACTTCAAATCACAAATAATTGCTTAAAAAAGCAAGAACTGTTTCCCAAATTGCTGTATTTGACTTTAAAAATACATATTTTTAATATTGCCAATGAAATTTATTTTTGATATTCTTGCCTTGTTACATTAGTTAATAACGCATTATGACTACTGGTCAAAACTTTTGTACATACATCTGTTAGGTATAAAATTCGACGCTTCCCATTCCTCTCATGAATTAAGGGTTGTGTAGTCAAAACTTGGGATCAATTCATTTACTAGATCATTTCATACTGCAACTGCTATTTTTGCAATCAAAATTCAACTTTTTTTGATACATACATTACATTTATCGTATAAAGTGTTGCGATAGAGTCTATAAAATATTGCATATTGAATGTTGTGCAAGGAAACTTGCAGGTATTAATAATAACATGAAACTAATTTTTGTGTATGAACTGTTTGAATTTGCATATTTTGTGCATGTAAATACAGGAGAAAGGAGAATATTCATTCACTGTCCGTATCGATTACATATACTCTTCGACGTTTTGGTTGAGGAAGACTTGTGTTTTTTGTTTGTTTACTGTTTGATTCCCAGTCGTCTGACCCAAATACAAAGTTAATAGTTAAATGGTTCTCCATTGATAATTGTGACTTTTGGAAAGAATTTAAAAAGCTGATGTTTTTTGTTACTTGTA